AAGTAGTTTTACCCTGCCTATCGCATGCCAGACACATCCCACAGCACTCGGCAGGACTTGCTACTTCCGAGCCCCCGAAATCCCACTATATTGCAAACTTCACATTCTCAGATTTCGTTAATAAGACTGCGACGCCTTCCTCCAAAGCAGCAGGGTCTGATCCTGGTGCTGCGGGCAGACGCTTGGGACAGGGGAAGGAGCCACAGACAGAGCCTAAGAGCGGGGAGGAAAGCCGAGCGAGAAAATCCAACCTGCGGGGTATGATCTGAAACACTGCTTGCAAACAGACACCAACGCGGCAGCACAGACCAAGACCCAGCGTGCAGAGCGGGGAAAGCTCAAAAGCAGCGTTAGCGAACAGCCCTGTAAGAACTGGGCAGTCTCTTGTCAAAGTCCGCGAGCAGAGGGCTTGACCAGGCTGAGGGACCTTTCCCTGACAGCATGGAGACCCTAAGGTCACCTCCACACTGTGGCTCGATGCACACACCACCGCTCCTGCTCCCATCAGCATAGGCAAGTTTTCAAATGCAATTGCTCTCGCCGCTTCCCACAAAACCTCAAAAGTTCACCCTTTGGGGCACCCATGCCTCATGGCTACTTAGAAACACGGTTTGCCAGCTACACAGTGCCAAGGTTTCTTATCAGGAAACAACGCAAGCTACCTGTCTGGTCATCAGGAGCCTCAGAGGTGTGTGTGACACCAAGCAGATTTAAGGAAGAGCACCAAGACGGGACTTCACCCAAGGCAGATGAGACAAAGCCTCCTGGGCTACGCACCCACCCCTCCCACGCTTCACGCAGGCTTCTTCCCCACGGTATTTATTTTCGCTCTCCACCGCTAGGTCTCTTCCAGTTCTAAGTGTTTCACGCACAAACAAGTTGTCATATTAAACCAATTTGGCAGCAGAACTGCAGGCCCAGAGGGAAGCAATCCTGCGCGTTTGCAGTAACTTAATCTGCAATTTCAATAGGATACAGTTCCAGCAGTCTGCTGCCCCGAACCTTTGTGCGGTGGCTGGGCATTGTTCAACAGCTGCCACGCACTGCCCAGCTGCGTTTCTGCCATGATTAAATCATAATTATTTTTTCTTTAATGTGCAAAAAAAAAAAAAAAGAAGCCACAAGAAAAAAACATCTATTATGGAAATACCAGTCAGGCCCTGGCCCCACTGAGTAAGTGGGCCATTGGGTAAGTGGGCATCCCCACGCAACACCCCACGCGCCACGTTGAGGGAAGAGGACTCGGCTGCCAATCATTTATTCCTCAATTGTGTAACTTGTACAGCTCACGGGCAACATTTAACTACAAATCTTGGTTCTCCTGACACCTGAACTGACTCCACACAGAAGTAACAATAATATGATTTTCCTGGTTTAAAGCAGTCTTCATTAAAAGTGTTTTACCTTTTTTTTTTTTTAAAAAAAAAAAAAAAAGCAAACCCAAATATATTCAACAACAGAAACATAATAAAAAAAAGGGCGACTCCAGCCAAAGCAAATCGTGGCTGATCCACACCAGAGACACAGCGTTAAATTGGGCCAGCACATACGTTTCAAGACAACGGGAAAGCAATGCATTCATACAGGATATAGGGAAAACAAGAAGCTTCGCGGCTACAGGTTATAACATCTTTTCTTTAAAGAAGCTGCAAGTAAACGCAATGCACTTTGCCATTACCCCTTTTCCTTTTCAGACTACCCCACCACTCGCCTTCCACGTCTATAGAGGAGAGTGAGTCTTGACTACACGAAACATGAAGTGCGGAGTCTCCAGAAAAAGAGGTGATACAGAAATGTAACGAAGTGTTCATTTTATTAGAAATTTCAGGTAAGTTACAGTTTTAGAACAAGGATCTGTTGGTCACATCTGCTATCCCCGGCTGTGTCAGACCTGCCGGCTGATGCTGGGCGAGTCCCGGCACATCCCAACCTCAGTTTCCCCTTCTCTGTTAACACAGAAAATTGGTATTTCCATCCCCCCTCTGACAAAACTTAATTAACACGTGCAAAAGGCTCCGAAGCTCCAAAGGAAAGGACCACAGAGGGCAAAGCATTCGGAAAGATTTTCCTGTGACGTGGGACAGAAGGAGCACCCGAAGGAGCCCGGCACGGGGTGGGGGTCTCGTTTAGCAGCGTTACCAGTTTTCCTCCAGAGCAAACACAATCGCGGCTGCAAACCCCGTCACTCCCGCGCTTGCGGAGCCCAAGATTTTGGGGGTGATGCCCCCGGATACACCATCAGAGCCCCAGGGCGGGTATGGATGTGCAGCGCTGTATCGGTGCCGCCACCCGGGAACGCGCAGGCAGAGCCCCCCGCACCGGCAGGACGGCCCCCGGAGAGGGGCACAGCTGGCGGGCCGGGACCGCTCCAGGACCGCCGAACCGGCATCGCCCGGGGATCCCGCGGGGGTGGAGGGGG